GATTTTATTGATACAAATGTCTAAGTTGAGTGATTTTATTAATACAAAACAAAGTTTAATGACTTTGTTAGATAAATTCTCCAAGAGTGACCTTTTGAGATATTAACTCCAAAATGACTTACAAAACTTGTTTTATTTTATTTAATTTCGATTTCTTAACATGTAGGACAGCCTGGCACCTAGGTGTTGTTTTTATTAGAAAAAAAGTAATTAAAGATTTCTCATTTCATGTTAATTAATTTGGTATATTAAATTATTAAATCTCGAGTAAATAACATTAAACAATAGCTTGGGAGTTGTTTTTGTCAGAGAAAGTTGAAGAAACATACATGATCCTTTGTATCAGAAGTCAGAACAACAAAATAATACACTACTAAAAGTGTTGCATTTGATTAAATGAATTTAATTTATTAAGGTTTATTTTATTATAATAAAAGCAAAAAAATAATAATAAATAAACTTTGTGTGGACTCCTATAAATTCTGTCCATCATAATCACACCGGGTACTTTGTACGCATTGGGTAAATAGGGGGATTGAACCGTCCAAATCAACTGAGCCATCTCGAAGAACCATCACAAATGTTTGATGATGCAATTTCAATCCATGTTTCTAACTTTGACATATTCGTTCTAACTATATTTCGTATTTTCTAATTAAATCTTAAATATCTTTTTAACGAGATCTTCATTTTTCTTCTCCCGTTGATGATGTACATTCATATTGATTTTCAACCGACGCAATTTTCATCTTTCTCAATTTTTTTTGTTCTTTATCAATAATAATGAAACAAATTATTCTTAAAGTATATATTTCGAATAGAAGTAATCATATATCTGTTGAAGCACATATTAATTGCATGTGAAGTAGGGCATGAGTATCAGAATATGACCCCATGATTAAGGAATCCGAGTTGCAATATGCTTTGAATGAAATTTTATAAGAAATATTTAGACCCCATTAGTCATACGTCACCAATAAAATTTAAATTTTATGAGTTTAATATTCAAAATTTCAATTTTTGTATATTTTTATACTATATAAATCATATGCCCCATTCGCATCGAATATGTTGGATTCAAATGAATTTGATGTCGAAATGCTACGAATCAAACTTATAATAACATCTCCTTTTCAAGCATTCACTTTTGCGGATTTCGCTTTTTTTTTTCTTTTATATCTTTTTGGTTTTTGCTTTTTTTGTTTCCATAATTGACATATATTGCATGGTTTCGATTGGATTAAGTTTCTTTATGATTTTATTTATTTAAAAAAGTGCATAAAAGTGAGCACTTGAGAAAGCAAGACAATCACTGAAAAGAAAAAAGCAAATATAATCTAAGGTTGGAAAGAAATATGGGAATCTGACCAAAAAGATAATTTTTGGTCGGGTCATAATTCCTATATTTTTTATACGATTATAGTTACGCTTTAATTTTAAATAAATTATATTAATTTTTATAATTTTATTTAACCTCAACTCATATTATTATCAACACCAAATAAAAATAAAAGTGAAGATAAGTTAATTGATTGAGACCAAAACATAAATTTATGTTACAGTAAAAAAACTAACTTAAGAAGTCTCTTATGACTTAATTGGAAAAAGCTTATGCTCGACTTTGGGAAAATTGTATATATAATAGCAAACTATTAATTTAAATTAAATGTTATAACCATAGTTTGATTTAATTGTATCTCATAGCAAACTCTTGCTATTTCGCCTCTGGTGAATCTCGCTTGCCACTCTCGTTCTCGCTGGGCAGTCTCCCTCAGCTCTCTCGCTTTTATACAAACAAATGTATAAAATGCATTTGTGTTTGTATAAAGCGAGAGAAAATTGTTTATATACATATTTTTTCGTTCCCCTCTCTCCCCTTTCCCAGATCTCGCTCGCCACCCTCACAGATCTCGCTCGCCACTCTCACTCGCCTCTCTCACTTTATACAAACACAAATATATACATTGCGTTTGTACTTGTATAAAGGGAGAGAAAATGTATATACAAATACAAACACATATATTTTCATTATATACACTTATGATTATACAAATACGATCTTTCACTGCTCAGTTTTCTTTTGTCTTTCTCTCTTTCTCACTTTATACAAACACAAATTATATAATTGATTCTTTTGTATATGTATACCGAAACATATTATACAATTGCTTTCTTTTGTATATGTATAGCAAAATATACATATTAATAGCCATAGCAAACATAAAGTTTGTTATGGAGCGCAATTATGCAAACTATAGTTATCGCATACAAATATGATTTTTATGTTTGCTATATGTGAAAGTTGTTCTATATTATTTACAAAAAAAAAAAATCATAATTAGGTTATTATTTAGTTTTTCTCCTTATTTTGGAAGGTGTATATTTATACCTCTTGAACGGACAAAAAATTAGAATGTCTGTGAAAGGTAATATAATTTTAAAAAATAGTCCAAGAATATATTTTCTATTTGAATGGATAAAAACAATATTTTAAATTATTTTTAAAATTTTATATGATGTGTCACATATCACAACAACCAAATTTACCAATTATCGAATTATCAAAAATAATATTAACTCAAAAAGGTAAAACTATATAAGAATTGTTTAAACTTTAATAAGAATGGTACAAAGTTGAGGAAATAAATAGAGAGGCTCCTTGTCACATGACATTTAAACAAGCTACAGATAAGAATACAAAAAAAAGCCAGCTGCCCATGTAAAATATCTTTTAGACCATATACTATTCTCTATGAATCTTTGACGAGAATAAAATGTATGCAGATTTTATCTTTATGTGAATATTGCTAGAGCGTAATTGAATTTCCGTCCTTATGTTCTATTTATACTTAGGGGTGTATAGAATCAAATTGAAAACCGAACCAAATCGCAAATCAAATCAAATCGAGAAAAAAACCTGATTAGTGATTGGTTTGACTTGGTTTGGTATTGAAAAAAAACCCAGCAATATTTGGGTTGGTTTGGTTTTAACTAAAAAAAACAAATCGAGAGCAAACCAATCCGACATTATATATATAATTTTAAAATTTTATTTTATACATAAAAATATTTACTTATTTTTTATACTTTTTCATAGTTTTTATCTTTTAATATATTGTTTCAAGTTTGAAACTTAGAATTCTGAATGGTTCAATAAAGATTATAGTCCACAGTTGTTGGTAATTATAATAAACCTTAAATCAAAATCAAATTAATACTAATGCAAAAAGAAAATCAATTCAACACTAAGAATGACAATAATATTGAATATTTATTCTTTGGTTTTACATTGGTTTAGACAATTCAAATACATAATCTAATTTTAATTTCCTTTAATATTTAGTAATGTAACTAATACTTATTAAACTTATTTTAGCATGATTTAGTACTTTTAAATTATAATCATTTTTATTATGACTTGTTAATTTGCAATATTTGTTTTACGCGATTTCATCATTATTATTTTTTATTGGATATTTTAGTGTCATTACTCATATCATATTTTGTGTTATTTTCTTAAGAAACACCTTAGATAGTTGTATTTTGGTAGGACTAAATAAATATTTTAAGTACAAGTAAATTATATGTTTATATTTTATCGGGAAAAACCCGAAAAAACCCAAAAAACCTGAAAAAACCCGAGTTTTATTGGTTTGGTTTGGTTTATAAATTTAAAATTCCGATAAAAATGGTTTGATTTGATATTTGAAAAATCCGAACCAACCCGGTCATATAACTCCTACTTATACTGATTTATCATGTGGCTATCCAGATTGCCCCATCAAGATTAGTTCAAGACATAAAACTATAGTACTAATAATTACTATTAATTATAGTATTCATTGAAATTTTGGCTTTGATTGTTCATTTTAAGATTCAGTCAAATGTTGTTTTGGACATTCAATTATGAGTTTGATTCATAAAAATGATTACGTGGAACTACTTAATGAATTAGTACATAGATTGCACGATCTCTCCATATGCTTAAAGATTGACTTTAATACCTGGTGAAGTGGTTGGATTGTTCCACCCTTAATTAGAGATTTTGGATTCAAATCTTTGGCATAGAGAAAAATTTGTTGGGAGCATAACCAGAATAGGCGCGATTCGGATTTAGTATATTGCTTTAGCTTGTTTGGACCTAGTGATTGCTTTTTGTTAACTAACTAGTGGTAAATATACTAGCATTTTCATTTTTGTTTATTGGAACAACTACGTACATAGGGAGGTTGTATCCGATCGATCCTCGATTTAAAAGAGGAGTATCCGAAACAGGATTACAAAAAAATATAACATCAAAATAGCAAGATACAAAATAAATAAAATAGCAAACAAATATAATAGTGTAAGCTCAAGGATGTGTTTGCTACGGAGGAAAATATCATTTCGAAGATCAAATTTTCAAAAACATTTCTTCAAAATGACAGAAATGACCTTCCTTGTTATGAAATGAGGCATACTATTAAAAGTTAAAGTATTTTTGTATCATTGACTAACTAGAAATTTTGATTTCAACCATAAAATGAAATCGCCTTCGGAGACAATGTTTTACACATAAATATATTCAAATTAATCAGACGTGAAATAGTATCCGAATCGGAAAAAAAAAACAAAGGAAACACCAACGGAAGGAGGTGACATCGCATCAGTATATCAGAAAAAAACATGCATATAAAACCTATCCTCAGTCCTTATCGTCTACCTCCCCAACAAATTGATGTTAATTCAGACAACAGTTGCCATTATCATTTGGACCAGTAGCCTTATAACTATTTATTCATTTTTCCCAGACTGGATATTAAAGAAAATACCAACTAAACTGTTCACCTCAAGGGTCGTAGGCTCGTAAGCAGAGTGATAAGTACTTCTTTAACTCTTAATAAATGTAGTTGCGTTTGTTAGATAATGCTTATTGCACCCTCGATATAGAACTTTTCGACGTGAATGTACTGGACACCAACTGAAAAATCGAAAACCAAAATTGATAATTTCAACTAAAAAATTTAATTTAAAGAAAATGTACAAGCTAGACACACAATGCTAGACTAATGTATTCAATAGTAACAAACAAATCGGGTCAGCTCAAAACCCGACTCCAGCTGCCCCGACGCCAAATGTAGCCGGTCGGTGAGGCTCAATTTTTCTGTTTTTCCAGCAACAATTCTCCGGGGTCAGCTTAGCTGCCGCTGTCCTCATTGGCTCCGACTTGCACCTTGTCAGCACAAACGGCTCGTAAGCTGCTGCATTCACTAGTTTCTGCTCAATCATAGTAGACATGGACATCCCTGTGGCTGCCGGTAAAGAACACGATGATCTTGGTGGTTGTAATAGGTGTTTGTTCCTGTATTCTGTAGGTTTAGTGTCAGTGCTCCGCCGCCTTTTGGGTTGTTCTTCAGGGATCTCTTTCTTGGGTGGTTTGGCGTGTTGTTTTCTTTCGGGTAACCATCTGAGAAAATCCCTTCTACACACCCATGTTTCTTTCGAAACTTCCATTGATAGCTTCGGTTCACACATCATTAGTAACAAACACTCTGGCAAAACGGATTCTTTTTCTTCGTTTTCAGGCTCTTTGGGTTGTTTAATTTGCTTCTCTTCTTCAATATGTTCCTCCTTTTGCACCGGTTCTTCTTGTTCAGATTCTTGTTGGGGCTTTGTGGAATTCATTTCTATGTTACCCTGCATGAGAATTTCTTCGATTTCTTTCATTACGGTTGACTTGAATCGTTCTTCTTCTTCTTCCAATGCAGCTTCTTCAGTTACTAGTTCTAGTTCTTCGTCTTCAATTTTGATACTTCGTCTATTTGAGCTTTCTGATAACGATAAACGGGGAGAAATAGTCCGTTTTTCTCCTTCTTCCTCAACATGGTTATTTCCAATTTCTTCATTATCTTCCATATGATTAACCAATTGGACTGATTGTTCAAGATACTCCTCGTCTTCGGCTACAAAACACTCTATTTGGTCATCTTCTTCCTCCTTTTCTGCGGCTAATTCACAAGTTTCATGCTTTCTTTCTTCCTCTATTTCCATGACCTCAGTTTCCTCCGTATTCTCTTCCATTTCATTGAGATCTACTGAAAGCCTAGCTTCACCTGGCAATTTGCACAATTTCTCCGTTGCTTCAACTTCATTACTTGGTTCACATTTCTGACAATCTACAATTTCCATACGCTTAATTTCTCCGAATTTTTCCAATTCTACAGCATCTTCTTCTTCATCTTCATCATCATAATGTTCCTTTTTCAAAACAGGCGACTCCTTGAATCTATTAGTAAGGTCAGCCATTTTCAAAGGATCGGATCTGCATCTCATGAGAAGCAGAGCATTTTTCGGCGGAATACAAATACTCACTCTACCTTTCTCTTCATTCTCTCTTCCGTTTTCCATTTCAACAATCTCATCCTTAAATTCAATATCTTCAAAGACATGTCTTCTTGAACTCCTCATTATACTACGCCTTGCCTCCTCCTCCTCCTCTGTTCTTTCCTCTTCACCATTCGCTACCACCAACTCAATATCCCTCCTTTTCCCTCCTTCCCCATCTTGTACTGCTACTAGCCATCTAGCAAAAACCGCCCCACACGATCTATGCTCATTATTCTCCCCTCCTTTCTCTTCCTTTTCCCTTTCGTTCGTCGAAAAACACGACGAACGGCAAGGGAACAAACAGCTAAACTCAGCACCAAAAGCCCTCAAAGCTTCACATATCGTCAATGGAAGATGAACCCATCTTTGATTTCTATGAGAAACGCATTCTTGTTGCTGATAATGCACACTCGAGTTCCCTTGCGAGTATCTCTGATTCCTTAACAATAGCCTATCATCTGTTTGATTAAATGCCTCAGTGACTTGCTCTATTTTTCTGAAACTCACCTCACCGCTTCCACTTCTTCTCTTCGACAAACTCCTTGTCTGCTTCACCTTCCTCTTCGTCTTCACTCGAACCTGACCAATACAAGTAACCTTCGGAGAAGTAGGTTCCGGGTTTTCAAAACCCGACCCGCGTTTCTTCCCGGTGGCCGGAAACATAGGAGAAGCTTGACCGCCTTTTATACTACCATTTGCTCTGAGTCTCCGGCTGAGAGAAGTGGGAAGAGAAAGAGGCCCATCACGTGCACGGCCAGGACTAAGAATTGATTTAGAGAATTTCATGGAAGAAGATGAAGAAGAAGAAGAAAGACGAGAAGTAAAGCAAATAAAAAGCTCACTAGTTGTACTATTGTTTGTAACGGCTGCTGTGCGGTGATGGGGTCTGGTGTCTAAGTCCATTAAGCCATAAAATTTACTGTTGTGGAGCTATGATATTTTGCTTTCATCAGTACAATACAGAGTGTAATAGTATGCCATGGACGATAGTGGCCAACTGTGAAGGCGCAGAAAAATTGAAGAGAACGAGAGAAAAAAGAGTGGGTCCTGACCAGAAAAGGGTTGTGCGTGTGTGTGGATTATGGACTGTGCGCTGCAGAGTGATATGAAATAAAGAGAAATAATCCCTTTGTATTCGGCCCTTCTCCGAACCCCGCACATAGCTTTGGAAATATGGGAAGTCTCATTTAGGAAAAACGCTCTTTATCTATATTTGAGACTTGAATCTGAAACTTTTGATCAAGAAAAAAACAACTTCATTTAAGGTGGTTTTCCATTTTATGATATATCACGAATCATTTTTCAAATTTAGTTAACATACATTAATAGTACAAAAAAGTTGTTATGCTATTACATCACAAAGTTAATTGCAAGTGAGTAGCATATCTAAACCAACGTCGGGTTTTGGCTATCTGAAAAATGCAAACTAAACTGGAAAATCATAAATACAATAATTGATGAGTTAAATGTTGGCGTAAAGAAAGAAATTAATCAATTGAAATGAAAATAGAAAGAAGAGGTGAAATAGACAACAAACAATAATAGTTTTTTATTTTTATTTTTAAGAAGATTATTTAAATAAATACTACTTGATCCTCTACACTATACTGCCCAATTGTTTCTTGGTTGCTTCTAACTCCATAAGCCTAACCAAAAAAAACTACTCCATTCGTCCCATTTTGTATGTCATCTTTTTACTTTGCACTTACATTAAAAAATGATGTAATTTTACCCTTCTACCCTTATTTAATGTTTTCTTAAGTCAATTTTATAATAAATGATGAATACATTTTCAAGATTAACTAACTACTCTATCAAGGGTATAATAGGTAAAATATGGTAATTTATGCATAAATTTTATAAAATGACAAGTATTGTGGTTCAATTATTTATAAAAAGTGATGACATATAAAATGGGACGGAGGGAGTATATGCTAAGGCCTTTGAGCTTGTGATATTGTTTAAGTTGATACGCCCTCTGTCTCTAATTACTTGTCCACTTTTCCTTTTATAGTTGTCCTTAATTAATTGTCTATTTTGACAAATCAAGAAATGACAAAATAATTTTTCCTATTATACCCTCAATTAATTACTTTTTAAAAGATAGAATTTCTTTAAAATCTTAAATTTTTAATCCATTCACTTCATAATCAATAGTGGTAAAATGATAAACTTACTATATCAATAATTATTTTCTTAATAAGTGTATCGATTCAAAAATGGACCAGTAATTAGGAACAAATGGGTACATTATAGGATTAGTAGTGATAAAAATCATTAAACCTCTCATTTCCCTATTAAATGTAATAAAAATAAATGTTCTAGGATTGAGACAAAAACAAAAAAACAAAAAGGAAAAAGAATTGAGATATAACCCACAGCCTGACAAAAAACTTTCTCCCTTACGGAGAATTGTGGTGGACTGATTAGTACTCCTTCATTCTTAATCAAAGGATTTAAATTTGAGTCCATCTGAAAATGAAGTCACATTTGTTAGTGAACATTTTACCCCAAATATGAGATTTCCGTGTGAACCCAATTTTATTGGGGTTCAATGTGAAAAAAAAGAAGAAAGGTTTCTCCCTTATTTTTATCCGAGTCTGGAGTCAAAAGGGTAACTTTTTTCATTCAAAAAATAAAAACGGCACATCAAATTTTTTCTAACCAAAAAAGCAAAATTGCTCCTGACGGTGCGATTTTCTTCTGACAAAAATTGACGCCGTTCGATTAAAAGAAATAAAAATCGCTCAAAAAAATATTCTTTTTTCCTTTAAAATCGCTTCTATAGCAGCAATTTTCTCCCAAAAAAAAAAAAAAAAGTAAAAAGTAAAAATTTAAATAAATCGCTGCAAATGCATCGATTTTGATCAAACTTTTTTTAAAAAGTTAAATTGGAGCTATAGGTCAAATCAATTATTTATTATAATATAAATGCAGTATACTTACAGATATATTTTATTTTTTAATTTATAAAATATTAAATTAATTTTTTTACTTTTTAACTCACTTGAATGGCAGCGATTAAACTTCAAATTTTTTAATTTTTTTTAATTAAAACGCTAATTGCTACCAGGGCAACGATTTATGTAAAAAAAGAATTAATTTCTTTAAAAAAATCGCTGCTACAGCAGCGATTTTAAAGAGAAAAATATTTTTTTTTTGAGAAAATCACTGTTAAAGCAGTGATTTTTATTTCTCTTAACAACGTCAATTTTTGTTAGAAGAAAATCACTCTGTCAGAAGCGATTTACCCTTTTGATTAATTTTTTTTTGATGTACCATTTTTATTTTTTAAAAGAAAAAAGTTATTCTTTTGACTTCAAACTAATTTTTACCCTTAGTAATTGTGTGACTGTGGACAAGATAGTTTTACACAAAATGTTTTCAAGTGATTTTATCAATTAGTTTCGTACGTTAGCTTCATGACATTGGACCACCAAATCATTTTCTAACTTTTGGTCCCATTGAACACTATCTGTAGCTTGCATACCACATGTTGATCCTTTCATATTTTTTTTGGTTCTTATCATATTCAAAACAACTAATTAAGACATATTGATTTGATGAAATGATGATAAGGTAGTGTAAATGTTTTCTATTATGCTATCTCAAATAATTCCCTCCATGAACGTGGCCAGATCATGATTTCATCAATTACTAATCCAGCTGCCAATGGACCAAAATTACCATATGTTTTACTAGGATTCATATGGTAGGGGTGTGCATGTCTTGTATTATTTTTAATATTTCTTATAATAAGGTCCTCTTAATGCTCTAACGCCTCATGCTGAAAATGGAGTGAATTGTCTCACGTACCATTATATTAGGCAAACAACTCAACCCTTAAAAATGTATTATAGTTTCAGGTGATGAGGAACTGACATAGAAGTGTCAAACCTTCTTATCAATGTGAAGCGATTGGACAAGATCAACTTATTATCCAGTAACTTCTATTTTTTGCGCGACGACCTTTCATTCGTCATTGTTGAAGCATTAAGACTAACTTTTGCCCAAATTCGATGGTGTATCTTGCAGACAAGCTCCCTTTTGATTTTACACTCGAGGGCCATTTTCTGTCATATCCAAAGAAACATTTTCACGCTTACATCACATAGAAACTGTCTAGTAGATTCATAGCGAATAGCCGTTGACTTAGTTGCTTTTATGGTTTATTTTAATCTCGATATTGATTTGATGCAGCTTACCGATGATAGTCATAGTACCATGCGAGAGAAAAAAACATAATTCCCCAATGTTATTGATTACCTTTCTATATTCTTGTCGTCAAGTTCCCTTCTAATTTTACACTCAACGATCATTTTCCACCTTATCCAAAGAAATATTTTCATGCCTATGCCCCATAGAAATTGTCTAGCAGTATTAGATATTTGTAAAAACAACTCAAAGTACAATAGGACCTATTTGTGCAAAACCAAACTATTATTTTCCTCTTATTTTGACTAATTAGGGAAATATTGTCCTCTTGTGAGTAAAAATCTATTGTAAAATTACCTAGTGTAGGCTCGCTCCACTATCTCTTTTTTACCTGACATTTTGTGCTTGGATTAGGTGGCATTTCCGTTATTAAATTGAATTTTAGTGTCAAATTGTGGACCGATCACATGGGGAGTAAAGATCGATAGAGACGAGGTGAAACAGAAAACTACAAGAGGTGCACGTGACGTGACTAGTAATCAAAATGTCTCACCCACGCGCCACTTGTGTTCGTGAAATACAATTGTTATTTTATTTTTATATTATTTTTAACGTAAAAGGGTTAAATATACCCCTGTACTATTGGAAATGACTTAAATATATCATTCGTTATACTTTTGAGTTAAATATACCCTTTTCGTTATATTTTTGAGCTAAATATACCCCTCTCGTTATACATATACCCTTATAACTAACAAAGTGACGCCTTGGAGAGCCAGAATTAAAAGAACTCATCTAATTTTAAATTATATCAAGTGCTAAGCTTAACCTACCCCGCCCGATCAATATTACCCGACCCAAAATACACTTCAAATGTGGAAATCTCTGCTTTGTGCAGAGATTTTTGCTTCACCCTTACCAAGCTTCTTGCTCTTGGAAGCTTGAGACACGTCAATATTGCTCAATGAATTCTCCTGTAACATTTCAATTTTTGCTATTCTTTTTTTGCTTAGCGGGTTGTTCAATTTTATTCCCTCTAATTCTCCCATTCGGCAAGGTGGAAAACAAGCTATGAACAACCCGCTAAGCGAAAAAGAATAGCAAAAATTGAAATGTTACAGGAGAATTCATTGAGCAATATTGACGTGTCTCAAGCTTCCAAGAGCAAGAAACTTGGTAATGGTGAAGCAAAAATCTTTGTGCAAAGCAGATGTTTCCACGTTTGAAGTGTATTTTGTGTTGGGTAATATTGATCGAGCGGGGCGGGATAAGCTTAGCACTTGATATAGTTTAAAATTTGATGAGTTCTTTTACTCCTGGCCCTCCTAGTGTCACTTTGTTAGTTATAAGGGTATATGTATAACGAGAGAGGTATATTTAGCTTAAAAGTATAACGGAAAAGATATATTTAACCCAAAAGTATAACAAAGGGTATATTTAAGTCATTTCTAATAGTACATGGATATATTTGACCCTTTTCCATTTTATGTTTGAAGTGTAACTAGGGTCGGGTAACATTGATCGGGTGGGGCGGGTTGGCTTAGCACTATATATAGTTTAAAATTAGATGGGTTCTTTAAATCCTGGCCCTCCACATGTCACTTTGTTAGTCATAAGGGTATATATGTGCTAAAGTATAACATGAGGGATATATTTAACCCAAAGTATAACGAGGGGTATATTTAAACCATTTCCAATAGTACATGGCTATATTTAGCCTTTTTCCGTATTTTTAAAATTGTTTTTCAATTTGTAATACCCAATACTATTAATTATTGTTTTTTAACAAATGTGCAAAATCCAAAATGAACAGAGTCATTTAAAACAAATAAAATGCTTCCTCTATTAATTTTTACTTGCTATATTTGGATTTAACATACCTATT